CAGTGGTAGAAGGCGGCGAGATAGAGAGGAGAGACGAGCGGCGCTGATCACGTGGGAACAAAACTCGTGGTTTGAGTATTACCTTTCCCTATTTTACTCTTAGTCTCATCCATTAATGGCCAAAAAGAAAAGATTTTTGCAACGTTTTATAAATGTTGCCAAAGACCGATTTTTGGCAACGTTTATAAATGTTGCGAAAGATAAAATACAACTTTTTTGCAACATTTATAAAACGTTGCAAAAGACAGCTTTTGGCAATGTTTATAAAACGTTGCCAAAGACAGATTTTTGCAATATTTATATAAACGTTGCAAAAGACAACTTTTGGCAACGTTTATACAAGACAGATTTTTGCAACGTTTTATAAAAGTTGTCAAAGACAACTTTTTGCAACGTTTTATAAACGTTGCGAAAGATAACTTTTCGCAATACTAAGTAAACGTTGGAAAAATGCGACATTAGCAACATTTACTTAAAAAATGTTACCAAAGCTCAATTATATTAAGCAATGGCAACATTCATGTATTTGAATGTTGTGATTGACTCCTTTAGCAACGTTTAATTAACAAATGTTGCCTTTTGCATGTTGCAAAAAACCATTTTTGTTGTAGTGTTTTAACGCTTTTTCTAGATTCTATTCATCTTACAACTCAAATTTCAGGGCTTATATATATTTTATCTACTTGTACTGAAATCATAACATTCATATAATATCTTAAGAGCTTTAAATCTTAACTAAGAGTACTAGGATATTGTTCTAAACATATTCATTATTGATTGTAGTAAAATTCTTCTTCTTTGTCTATGGGCTTTTCCTATCTTGGGTTTTCACATAAATTTTGGTGTTCTTATCTTTTGTTTGTTTATTTCGAGTCAGCTTGATCCAGAAGCTACCAAACACTTTTCGTACAATTGGATGGAGAGAAAATCTAAGATATGATTCCATAAGAGAATGACTGAAGGCCATACAACCACGAATTGACCGATTCGTAACAACTGTAAGATCAAGACTATCAGCTCAACTTAATCAGAGATGCAATAAACTTCATAGCATGATACTTGATATAAACCTAGATTCCATCCATTGATCCTTAAATGTCTCTCTACCACCCTTAATAGGTACAATAAAGCCATCTGCCTCATGCTAAACAATTCTTAGGTCTTTAGCACTCTTGAATTCTCGCTTCCATCTGTGTCGGCTGTACTATAAATTATGGAACAATAGCATTCAAAATTTCCTATCATAGAGGCCATTACAGAACTAGTTTTTGAGACACTCTAAACTAGATAGAATGCTGCTCTTGGATGGACAATCAAGAGCTCCATCACTTATTATCACTATCAGTCCTTTCATCACCAATATTATCCCAACGGCGAGGCATGTTTTAAAAGAATAATGTAGAAGAGAAGGAGGAGAGAAGGTGAACTTCTCGTACGTAAAATCTCTAAAAACCATGGTTTGTAATACTTGAAAGAGATAACTAGAAATTTTATTAAGTAGAAAAGTAAAGAAGGAAGTAGAGATAGTAGCCATATGGGCCTTTTTATGAGCATCCAAACCAAGTTCATAATTGTTGGATTGGCTACCATGAAGTCCGAACCATTCGCAAGAGACTTAAATCTGGGCCTACGACCACCTAAAGGCGTTACATTGCTTACAAAAAGATGGTCGAGATATCTCATGTACACCCATTAGCGCATGTCATACTTGCTAAACTCTACCAAATGAGCTTGTTTGGTATCTATAATTATTAAGGCTTAAGAAACAAAAGAGGTCATTTATCTAAAGTAGTTCGACTTTTGCAAGTAAGATATCACACCTATATCACTATGTCCGATCATGTTATAACATCTATTATTGAGATATTTCAATCCCGTCTCCTCGGTATTAGGAAACTGACTCAGCCAAAAGAGTCTTGTTCTCAATCTACATACTTTGATATTGATCATCTTGGCTCTCGTCCTCCACATCAATGATCATCTTGATGCATAAAAGATGCCATGTCACCATGGGCATCGATCAGGTTTGACATGTAATACCTGCCACATGTGGAATAGGTCATGATTCCTACGTTAGTAACATCGTAAAAAGTTTTTTCGACATATCAACTAACGCTATATTTGTTTCCGCCACATTATTGCTCTACCTCTTTTACAGTTTTTGAAGGGAAAGAATCTCCAACAATGTCTCTCACCTTTAGTTGCAATTGTACATGCATACCTTGGTAGGAAATATTTATCATCTCTCATTACAGAGGCCACGAGGAAATATCACAGTCTTATTAAAAAATTGAAAGCAAAAAGGAAAATGGAAAGCATGAAATATGTATAAGTTCCAAGAAAGAATGGACGAAAAGAGTTCAGTCTAGGGTTTTTATCGAGAATGCACAATGAATAAGGTCCTAATGATTAGCAAAGAACATGGTAGAATGAAATTTCGAAGCATAACTTTTTTGTTGGAAATTGATTTGTGATCATATTTTGCCTAAATTTGATCCATTTGACATATTTCTTCATCCAATTGACTCCTAATGCTCTCGGATCTTCATCTTGAGGTTCAACACAACTTTTGAACATTTGCACTTTAGTCCTCAAACTTTGGATCTCATACGATTTAGCCATTTTCTCCAATTTTTCTCACTTTTGCTTCTTTCCTTCATAAAATTTCACCTATTAAACATAAAATACAAAAATTTAGGATAAAATTGGTCGAAAGAACCATCAAATATCGCTATTTAAGGTACTAAATAAGTATATAAAATACACTTATCAGTTCACAAACTATGATTACATAACTTTCATTATATTCGGCAAGCAATCTTATTATACAATTCAACCAAATAATTTATAGCAGTACTAATTTTAGGTTAACTTCTGCTAATGAATCAAAAGAGGGCATCAAATATATAGAAACAAAATTACTTTCTGTTGCTTTAACCACGTTGACTTCAAATGGAGGATTTTATTTATACCCCACGTTAAAAGCAATTCTTTCGTTGGTATGAAAAAGAGATTGCCCCTATTGGATGGAAATTAAATTATTTTTTTAAAAAAAAAAATCAAAGTTAAAATCAACAATGAAATTTAATCCCTTATTTTATAGGATTCACAAATTTTTGATTAAATATTTCATTAATTTTTATATGTTTGGCCACAGGCAAATTGAATTTCTTATGAATTTTTAATTTACAAATTGAGTGATTTTATTTTAGATATTAGGGAGGTGTTCGATAGACATTTTTATGTAAAAATGTATTATAGAATAATAAATTGATGTGAAATGTGTGATTGAGAAATAAGAAAATTTTTTTGATTTACGTGTAATATTATTTTAATAAAGAATGTGTGGTTAAAAAGAAGAGAGAAAAATATATTTTGAGAAAAATGGTTACCAAACAGGGCTTAGAAGTGAGAAAAGATAGTGGCACTTTTTATTTTTTATCACCCCTAATATTTTTTTATTAGAATTAAGCCTTAAGTATATGGATTACTTGACAGAATCCACGAGAGCACCAATTTGCTTTTTCCTCCCTTTTTTTTAGTTACATCTTCCAATGACTTCCGCCGAACGCTGTATGCGAAACTTTCCTATGAAGACTCTTTTTATTAATACAACGTCGATCAATGGAGAAATAAAGTAAGGTCCCGTTTGAGCCACATTAATATAAGAATGAGAATGAAAAATATAGTCGTTACGGATCCCACACAAAAGATAAATTTTCAAATATAATAATCTAATGTGATGAATAACGATCATATTTTTTTTTTTAATGAGTAAATAATGGAAAACGAACAGGGACTAAATCCCTTTGATGTAATCCCATATCTTCTATGGACAACCATAATACTAAATTATAAATAAATTATTGTGAATCACGTGAATACACCAATTCAAGACCATGTCTCAGGCTTTGATATTTAAGTGCCGTATAATTTTAAATACTTAGCTTGTGGGAATTAAAATTAATATTTTAATTTTAATCAAAATTAACAATTAATTTTAATTATATTTTTTTATAAAATTCACAACTTTTTAATTACACACGTCATTTTTTTTTTATCAAAATAGATTAAGCACTTGTTTGAACCACAATATATTCCTAAAAATACATTTTGTAATAGTATATTGATAAGAAATGTGTGGCTAAAAAATAAAGAAAAGTCTTGAATTTGCGTGTAATATTATTTTATTGAATAATGTGTGGTTAAAATGATATCAAATCACTGTTTAAAAATGTAATTTTTTTGTAAAAAAAGTGGCTCAAACATGGCCTAAAAATCTTATTTTAAAACACACCAAACAAAGGCTTACTGACAGCCTGTTTGGGAGTGATTCCCCCCCCCCCTAAAATTGATTTTTTGACAGTTATTTCACTATTTCAATCGTCATATTTGACTTCTTCTTCCACAAGTGGATCCCACTTTTCTCCTAAAGATCAAAAAATCAATTATCAAAATCACTCTCAAACAGGCTCTGAAAAAGTGAACTCAATCATTGTTACTTTGTTTATCATTTATTTTTTTCTTGATGATGCCATAGAGGCCTGTTCTCATCATACGTATTTTCTAACATATTGCCTCATATTACCTAAGAATCTGAAATATCAATCATTAGCTATAGTCTCCTCCGGGTGTAAAGCACTATGTAACTGTAGAAATTTACTCATTTTACGTGCCTCTCTGTCCAATATAATACTACAAAAATTGACGAAGCAATTGCCATGACCAGCTTCGACCATTAGTACAAAATTTCAGCACTCATAGCAATAAAACATTGAAATCATCATTTCACACGAATATGAAACTCAGAATTGGAGACTGATCTTACGTGCTAAAATAACTATCATCAATTTGCTCTGATTAATCATAATTAATAAAATATATAATCCCAACTAATGGGTTGAATAGAAAAATAAAAATGATGCTTTCGTTGTAGATTGCGTGTCTATTTAATTTACATATTTACATGTTTGATTCCTATATATAATACAATGCTAATGCATAAAACATAACAAGTACATGTAAAAATTTCAAGTTCTAGAAATGGCATTCCCTATTGGAGAAAAATCGGTTGAGCTTCTACAAGCTGAAGCTAAATTTTGGAACTACGAATTCAACTTCTTATACATGGCCTCTCTCAAATGTGCAACTAAACTAGGCATACCAGATATCATCCATAAACATGGAAAACCAATGACACTCCAACAGCTAGGCGATGCACTCCCAATCAACAAAACAAAAATTCATGGTGTACATCGTCTGATGCGGGTTCTAGTTCATTCCAGGTTCTTCATCGAGGAAAAAGTTTCCGAGGATGACACAAATATGGGGTATTGGCTTACACCGGCTTCTCGTCTCCTCATCAAAGACCAGGCCTTGAGTATGATACCATTTGTGGAGGCCAGTTTCGATCCTACGTACTTAAAGCCATGGTATCATATGAGCGAATGGTTTCAAAATGACGACCTCTCTGCATTCGAGACAGCCCATGGAAGCAGCTTATGGGACTATGCTTGTCACGACCCGAAGCTCAATCAAGCTTTCAATGAAGACATGAGTAAAGACACAGAGTTCTTGAGTAGTATAATTATTAGAGAATGCAAAAATGTCTTTGACAAGATGAATTCTATGGTAGATGTTGGAGGAAACACAGGATTTATGGCCAAAGCTATTGTAGATGCTTTCCCGCACTTGCACTGTTCTGTGTTTGATCTTCCACACGTCATTGAAGGCTTGGAAGGTAGTTATAAGAACTTGACTTACATCAAGGGAAACATGTTTGAATCCATCCCTCAAGCAGATGCAATTATGCTCAAGGTATGGATTTTTTTCTTAAATAACAACTTTTTCTCTTGGATATATGCTAACAACAACTTTTTCACTTAACAAAAAACAGTGGATATTGCATGACTGGAGTGACGAAGAGTGTGTGAAAATATTGAAGAAATGCAAAGAAGCAATCCCAAGAAAGGAGAATGGAGGAAAGGTGATCATTATTGATATGATAGTAGGAAACAACAAAGAAGACCATCAACACACTGAAACGCAGCTTTTCAACGATCTAGCGATGATGCTTTACCTCAATGGAAAAGAAAGAACTGAGAAAGAGTGGGAAAAACTTTTCTTTGATGCTGGCTATAGTGGCTACAAGATTGCATATGAATTAGGATTGAGGTCTCTCATTGAGGTTTATCCTTGATTATTTAAGTCCATAATAATAAAATAAAGACTTCTGTTATCTTAAAATAAACATTTGAGTCATGTAATTCACTTACTTTGCCGGTGTGAAAATGAGCTGTCTTGGAAAGATTTTCATTTTTACTTGTGTTGTACTTCTGTTTGATGACATGAATTATCACTTCACTGATATTATGGATCAATTGCGACAATCTATAATTTACAGTGTTTGGAAGGATATGCTTTGTGCAGTAAATGTTTTGGGGGAAAACAAATGATGTAGAGTATGGTTGATGTGGATGGGTTGGGGATTAGTCTCTTGTTGATCACGAGGGACTCGCAGTACGGGATGGCTAGTTGTGGCAACGTATCATTACGGCATATGAGGGATTTTCTTTCGAAATCTTTGCTCGCAACTTTAATTTTGTCACATTTTAAGGTAGTATTTCCCTCATTAATTGACTGTCACACCATAGTCACAGAATTGAACTAAGTTATCTCTAGTCATATCAAACTAAGATTTAATTATCCAATTAAACAAAATTAACATATATTAACGTTAACATTATACTAAAATATAGTAACCGGGAATAAAATTTATCCTATATATTTCGTTTGCTTAAAAAATATTACCATCGAAACTAAAATATTATCAATTCCAGTATGAGTTACATATTTATCCATAAATTATTGAACAGGATTTTGGTACATGGATTAATTCATAATCTCCAGTAACATTTTTTTAAGTTTCATTTATATTTCGTTGTTTTCTTGTATAGATTACTTTGAACCATTCACAACTGAGGGTACAATCAACTTGGGGTGAGGAGATATTACAAGATGTACATAATAAATCTAGTATTTCATCGGGAAACTACTTTACGTGGCAAGTAGAGATTTTCACTTGATAACTCAGACAATCAAAGGCTCTTACTAACAACAAACAACACTTATGTGTTACTTAACGGTATAGAAGTTTATAGGAAAGAACAAAATCTCACATGAAAACTCAAAATTGTTGATTTGTTCACAAATGTTAAGAAAGAGGTAAAATTATGAGAAACTTCTCAAGACCTTTTACTATAATCAAATTCAACTAATTTTTGCTAAGTTTTGCAAGTCATATTTAACAATAATAAAAGTTTGGATAATGACTACATTTTAGATAATGACTAAAATTAAAGATAATGATAAAATTAAATTCCCTGATACACATATTTAATCCGAAATAAATGAAGTTAAATTCTAAAGTTATTACATAAAACAAAATTATCCAGAAAAATTAAAACAAGTTCTCGAAATACTAAACGATGAAATTTGGCCAAAAAGTTCCAACAGGCAAAGTAAGATTTGAAATGAAGAATGAAAAACGAAAATTCTTGAATTATTCAATCTCTTCAATCCTTCTTGAATAATCTCCTCTCTCTCTCTCCCCCCCCCAAAAGCCCCCCCCCCCCCCTCGCCCAAAAAAATCTAAGCAGTTATCTCCAATTGCATATATGAATACGTGTTCTTGTATCTTGCCTCTTGTTCTCTATCTCAAGGTTGGTGTCCCAAAATTTGGCCTGCCATGTATATTAAAGACGAGTCTGAATTATATTCCAAAAAGAGTTTTAATCAGAAAAGGAAATAGAATTTTCTCTATTTGTATGTGTCATGCAATTGCATGGTTATGGTTATTGTAATCGAGTAACTTTGCTATTTGACCTACAGGAATTCATTAATGTTACCTTGCGAGCAAGGAAGGTCCGTAGTTCGTGAGTCCTTTTCTGGTTTCTTCCATTATAGTCCTTGAATTCCTTCCTTTGTTAAGCTAGAGTCCTTCCTTGTTTGAAGTAGAGATATTTCATCTTTCAATTTTTCACCTTTGATCTTGGATTTGCAACTAAGTCCTCTATTTTTCACAATGGTTCTTCTTTAGTCCTCTAGCATTTTTACTCGTATTTATCATATACCATCCAATATTGTATTTATCGTACAACAGTAGATGTGTGTAAAATTACTATATATCCATCTCAAAAAAGATTAATTACTTAACACACATAAATAAAATATATATAGCTTAGTGAAATAATCTGTCATTGTGCATCGCATTTTGAAATCTCTTAAACAATTCATATAATACTTCCAAGATATGTCACCAAAATTAATTCATCCACTTATCTGTTGCTAGATCGATGTGTGTGCATAATCAATTCAATCACCATATAACTTCTAAAGTTGATTATTTCCTGATCCTCAATGACCAAATATTTCCTTTGTCTTTCAATAAATGCACACCCCAAATTTGTTCTTCATTCTCGCACACATGTTGTTTATTCTAACAATTGAATTCACAAAACTCGTTCATTTCCTAGTCAAATTCAATTGATTTTAATCTATGAAAGTCACTACCTCGATTTTTTATGACTCTCTCTAGATTTAAATTTCTCAACTTTCAAGTCTCAACAATGCTAATTAACCTCACTTGAAATCTGATCTTCAAATGAAGTGTCCAAGGCTTAGCCATGAAGTACAAAGCTTTTGCTATGCCACTACTTACATACTCCCATAGACAATATGAAGACACACTAATTCTTTTTTTACGTGATTCTTTTTTACACTATTTTTCCCGCTTTCTATTTTTTCTCTCACTTATAGGTATTTATTTTGATAAAACATTGATAAAATCACGTCGAAAAGTTTCTTTCTGCTATTTTTTTCCTCTCTACTCCAGGATATGTAGCATCACTAAATGGTAAGTGTATTTAGACAGAGAAATATAGACATTTAATAGTTCTTTTGACTAATTATAGCTTAATTTATTGTATATTTGTTTATTAGGTAAAAATCAATGATTGAAAGCTAAATTATAAGAAAAAAGTTAAATTTGAGAAAAGAGCAATGTTCAGGGACTAAATTGCAAATTCTACATGGATGATTCGACCACGAAATGATAATTGGAAATTATTAGGTATCTATTGGACGCAATTAAAAGTAAAAAATGAGTGATACGTGATCAAAATATTTTTACAAATCAATTTCTACTACACAAGTTCTATATGTTCCATATTGTTATCTGGATTTAAGACCAATTTTAATATAGTAAAAGTTTGAATTCAAAAATGTTATTATGACAATTGCACAGAGACAAAACCATGAGCGATGCGATGGCAACTTCCTTATTCGAATGGAAGTCCTTTGGTACCCAATTTGAAAGTGATTCTTGACCTAATTTCACCCTCTACATATTCAAAACATGGACAGCCATTAAAGGAGACCTCTCATGCACCGTTATTCATCAATTACTTCGATTAAAGAGAGGAGAATTCAGTGATCTTGTGAGAACATCAAAGGCAATCTTCAAGATTTCATCAAATTGAAGATTCAACCTTAATATTTGGGCAAAGAAAAGAAGGCAAAATTGGAGATTCATCAAGAAATCATTGAAGAGATTCAAGATTTCAATATTCATATTCATCTTCTCAATTCATTAATAATCTTGGTTATGTTCTTCCCATTAAACATGGTTTCTAGTGATTTTGTAATGCTATACAAAGGTTTTCAATTACTAGGACATAGATGAACCCTTGTTATATTGTTTTAATATTTTGTGTGTAAATGGTCCAATTGAAACTAGAAAATAAGCTTAAGTTAAACCGTTCAAAATTCACCAGGAAGCATCTACTGAAAAGAAGTGTGTTAGTGTCTCCATGATAAGTGTTCGCTAAAAATACATGCCACAAGTGCACGGGTCACGTTAATGTAATAAAGTGGATATTTTGAGTTCGCGTTATCGATCTCTTGAGGAATATATACTTTCGATTACACAAATCTAATTAATTTAATTCTAACAATAAAAGAAACACACAATAGAGATTATGATTTTGAAAAATAACTAAAATTTTACAAAATAAGAAGATATAAAAATCTTGGAAATTTTGGGAGACAATATGGTTGGAATCCATATTTTCGTTTAACCGTCACCTAATTAATTTCTCTATGAGCCAATTTAGAAGCTACTCATTTACGATGTTAGACCCAATTTTCCTATTTTAGTTAATTACCTCTCTCGAGCGAAATTAACCACAATTAATTGGTTTAACTTACTATATTTCTATGTCGATTAAAACTAAACAATTGCATTAAATATTTGAGAAAATAACTCAAATGATCACCTAGGGTTAAGGGTATATTTTTATTCTCTAAACAAACCTAGGGCTTTTACTATTTGGTCTAAAGTGCACAATATTCTCTCAAACGATGTACAATTCACTAGACACGATTATTCATTGGCCGCATAAAATAAAAATGCAATAAATAACAATAGTAAAAACACATGTAAATAAATAACTCAATATAAAAATCAATTAAATTCTAATTTAAGTTATTACATAAATCCAACACGATAACTTAGCCCATATTATATAATTGAATAAAAGGAGAATATTTTACATAATACATTGCAAATATGGAAAAATAATTAAGAAAAACAAAGTTATAGATACAACCCAATTTGAAGTTTGACTTTGATTTTCCCAAATATTTATCCAAATCTCTAAATGTTTTCTCCTTGTGCTCTATGATTTGCTCCAAAAAGTACCAAGGATTTATAAAAACAAGAAAGAAAATGAAAAAAAAAAAAACAATAATAATAAGAAGAAGAAGACGACGACGAAGCCTAGCAAGAAGAAGCCAGCTAAAGAAGCAGAAAAAGTCCCTAGCTTTGGTTTTTATATTAGAACTTAGAGATTTTATAACTAAGTCCCTAGCTTTTTGGAAAATACACAAAATGGTCCTCGGAGCCGAAAAGGGGCTCCACGAAGTCCTAAGGGGCACTGTGGCACCAAGGAATCAGAGCTGTGTTGTTGTAGCAGCGCCACCATTTAGCTTTTTTGCAGCTGATTCCTTTAGGAAATTGCACGCCAAATCCCTCAACTTTGATTTTGTACAATTTGGTCTTTGAATTTGACTTTCATTTCAATTTTGCCCTCCAAAAAATTGCAATCCCAAGTCCTTGAACTGCCTTTTGAGTTTCGGTCCCCACTTCAAAAATTGAACACTTTTTGTCCTTTTTTCCTCATTTTGCTCTGTTCTCTTTCCTTAGGTGATTTTTAGCCCACAAAAGCAAATATTACATAATTGTGAGTGTAATTTCATTCATTTAATCAATAAATAACATATTTATATATTAAATAAGTGTGTAAACACAAACTTATCAATA